AGTTGTGGCAACCACAGAAAGACCACATAACGAAAGTGCGAAATAGTAGTTAAAGCGGTCACCTCGCCGCTTCCTACTGCGCTGAGTGTTGTGGGTCCGATCCCCACACGGGACAACACTTTGTGTGATCTATAAATTGTTGTTCTGAGTCTGGGTGTTCTTTGTGTTTGTAAAGTCCCCCGCGACACAGGATGTAAGCATTATCATCAAAATCAGCATCATTGCAAATTTATTTTATATTTTTTCGTTTGGTTTTCTATAGAAAGCGTGTTTTTTAGTTTTAAAACTATTTTTTTTTAAATTAGTGTATTCTCATCGGTCCTCGATATATCTACAAAGATTGAACGAATTCTGACCGTTTAAAGTCAGTCAAAATCACGCCCAAAGTAGTCGGTTACAAACATACAAGTGAAGCTAATATAAAGCGTGTAAAAAGAAAGCTATCAGTATCTAAGTAGGTACACTTACACGTGCTTGCGGCAATTCATTCTATTGATACGCATAAGCCCTCTCCATTTTACATACATTGGAATAAAAGTAAAAAGATGAACACACAATTTCTTAATAGTGCTAATTAAATCATGAATATTCACGTAACTTTGTATGCCTCATGGCTTTCAATGAGATAGTCATTTGCAGATAAAATCTCATTAATCATTTAAATGTAATATGTCATAAATAAATGGAAAATACCTATCAGTGTCAATGTCAGTAAAGAATAATTTAACACCTGTTACATAAATCGATTGTCCTTATGCCCCAATATGCGGTCACTTCCTGGTCACAAGGTTGGCACACCGTCCTTAATCAAGGCTCCCGTTCAATAACTGCAGCTATGACATATCAACGTAGGTCGTATGAACGGCAATTTGTAATGATATTGAAAGACCTCAACATTGTTCCATGAACAACTAGAGGTCGAAATTAATACAGTTTTCAACACAGTTTTATTAGATTCGCTTGTAACTAACTAATAATTAAATAAATTTAAAAAAACAATTTTAACCTACTTCTAAATTGTCATACTGTAATCGAGCTTTGTATTTTCAAGTAGTTTGGATGTTAAGAATGATAAATAATAATAATAACCTAACACATCTCACATACTGCTATCTAGGCAGAGCCTATGCTATGGTAACCAGACTATTGATAAACACACTTATACACGGTGATTTTTTAGGCGTTTTGGAAACGAAACATTTTAATTTGGAATCATCTATACCAGTACTATAGTACCAATAAAAATGATAAAATCAATTGTAATGTTGTCTAAAAAAAAGTTTCAGTTTTAATATTCATTTTTACTCGATCGACTTGGAAAATAGTAATGGACTGATAATTCATTCACTATCTTATATGAATGAAACACGTCCGTGGGCGTTTCGGCGGCCGCTGCGCACCGCTGACGTTAACAGCAGCTGATAAAAGTATACCTATAGGCGCGAGCTAGCGAGTACTTACGTAGATAGACTCCAATTTGTCCTTCATACTTTACACGGGCTTAGGACCGTCGGAAATATCTATTTTATTTAAACTTCTTTTCGATTATTAACCACGATTGTTCTTTTCACAACAAATCAATTTATCAACGGACTGTAGGTATAAATATATCAAGCGTGTTTAAAAAATCGGAGCTATCTACAGAATAATTAACTTACATACCTATTTACACTATTTACACTTCTCTGTATCGAAGCAACTGCTCAAAATGGAGTCCGCTGCATTCAATACACAAACGTCCACGTTTAGCGCAATTGTTTTTTAATTTTCTTAATGTGTCTCTATCACTTTATCAAAAGCGTCCACTATCGCAATGCGTAAATTATCACGGCTTTCATATTCCCGTGTATAAACAAGTATTTTTATTTCCGACCATAAGAAAAAATCCAGGGGCGTTAAGTCCGGGCTTCTGCGTGGCCAAGGCACTGGCCCTCCTCGACCTATCCACCGATCACTAAACTCATTGTCCAGGTATGCACGCACTACACTCCGGCCAATAATAATTTAAACGTCCTTGACCTTGCGCGTGAGTATAGTATTTCTATTCTTAGTATTTACCTACTTGCGATTGAAAAGCCCTACTACTGGTTCTCACCTTTTCTCTGTAATCGATATGAATATCGACTTTGATGATAAAAAATATATATATTTTATTAAATTAACATTATATATAGCTTCTGTTACTGATAAATAACTCAAAATTTTCTTTTCCAAAACGCTTTCAAAATCACTATGTATATTTCTAAATAGATATGTATTACAGATAAATTACACCCAGACAGAATAAAATATCGTGCTCATCACACAACATTATTTGTCCTGAGTGGGAATCTACGACCTTCGGTTTAGCAGTCAGGGTTATTAACCACCAGACCTACAGGGCCCATCAACATTGTAATTTAAAAAAATTACAACATTGACGGATGCTTATAGCTGATTTGGTGATAGGGCCAGGAGGTAGAATTCTTCAGTGCCTTGCCGTTGTGCTTGTGTGCTTGCTTGTGTGCTTGTATTGTTGCCGTGTGTGCGAGATCAAGTGTTTTTATATTTCTGATGAAGACAGGAGACATCTTTCTTGCTTCAGTTCACTATTTAAGTAAGTATTTTTAGTTTTAAAGTTCTTTAATAGTTAACAAAAAGAAAATCAGTTCACAAACAGGTGGGCAAATCGACTTCGCCTTTTTATATGTATTCATTATATATGCATAAAATGGATTTCTTTCTAAAAATCACTCTATTATACTATATTCAATTTAGACCATGAAAGTATAATATGTACATGTACATACATATAATATGTATGTAGGAAAATAATATAGTTGTATTGTGTTTGAAAATTTAAACATCGCAATCAAAGACAGTAAGGTATTGTATCCATAGCACTCGTTACAGTTACACAGTTTACTTTAACTTTGTTTACGGACTAAAAAAAAGACACCTCGTGGTTTGTTTCGGCGTTTCTTCCCAGAGTTAGTCTTAGGAAATGCCGGCTCCATCTAGCTGTAAAGTCCGACTTGTAAAAATATCTGAAAAGATTTACTTACAGAAATAAATATCATTTCATTTCGATGAAATGATAGGTTTTGGGCACAGCGATTTCACATGTAATTGTGATTTCGTCATAGGCAAAGATAAATTACATTAAAATCAACCAAAATTCTTTTTATCAAAAATTACGACCTTGTTTCTTAAGAATTAGAACTTTCGGGAGTCTTGCGCTAGCGTAATAATAATAATAATTAAGTAGCAGTAGTTTTGTAAATCAGTCGCATGTTGATGATATGATTTATAAATCATATGACTTACCGCATGTAATTGTGATTTAAGTCCATCCCTAGTAGTTAGGTATGTCAATATTTTTGGTTACAAATATGTAGAGGTGTAGTAGCTGCCGTGTTTGAATTGCGCACCTATTTATAACCCGGGATAACCCGTTCCACAGATTAAAAATAAAAACTACGTAACAAAAAAGAAATCCAATGAAATGTTTTCTAATCACTCTGATTAAAATTAAAACGTAATACAGCGATACGATGTTTATTACCACGACATTGGCCTGCCCCAGTGTTGCGTATATGTGCAAATAACCGTGAAGATACGAAAGCATGCAGCTACAAATTTAAATGATTTTTACGCCTAAGTACGTCTCTGTACTAATTGGATGAATAAAACTATCTTTTAAAAGACAACTCCTGTCTCTATGCCAAATTTCATTAAAATCGGTTTAGCGGTTTTTAAGCTCTTTTTTTTTTGTTAAAGACAACTACCGCACTAGGAACATAATATCCTGTGTCGCGCACAAAGAATACCCTCAAGCAAAACGATAATTTGTGGTACACATAAAAGGTTGTCCGATGTGGGGATTGAACCTATAGCACTCAGTTGGAAGCAGCGAGGTGATCGCCTAAACCACTATGCTATCCGTGGAGTTATATATTGTGGTCAAGTGTGGCCGTGAGGGAAATCTTATCACCGTATCATAGTATAACTATATTTGTGTGTAATTAATATAGTAATTATAAGAATCTGACCGACTTGAATGTATAATGTAGTATTAATTTGTAATATAATTGTTGTTTTAATACTAATTTGCATTTTAACGTTCTATAATGTCTTAATTTTAATTAACCGGTAATATTAGATTGGTTAACAGAATTGTCGGGCCTTCGAAATTGAAGGTATGCGTGTATATTACTTTCCTACCATAAGGTACGATCGCTTTCTCTTGTAGCTAAGTGGTAACCGAGTATGTTGACACTTTGCAAAGCTAAGCAATCCTAGCCAGGTGAGTCTATGGATGGGTGACCATTATTAACACATTGAGACCCCTCCGTACCTCGGAGAGCACGATCATCCGTCGGTCCCGGTTGCCATACGAACATCTGTGGTAATGGTTACTGATAGTTCGAGCCCTAAAAAGCCCAAGAGCAGTCTTCGATATCGCCTAGTGCTCGTGTTGTGAAGTTCTGATCGAAGTTCAACATTGTAAAAACATAGTAGACTTGAAGAGGCCCTTTAACCTAATTTGGGAAAAAGGCTCGGAAGAAAGTACCATCCATTTCATTGTTCTCGTAACTTTCTAAGTCCCTTGTATCCGTCCGGGTGTCCGTTTGACAACAATAAGCTTGCTTCTTATCTCATCTGAATCTGTTTCTTCTTTTGTTCTAAATCTGTGTCTTTTTTTTGTATTTGAGGTAGTCTGCGCTCACAGCAAATGCACCCTGGCTGAAATGAGACAGGCAATTCAGTGATATGTAATACCTATTGATTGCGTAATTCCTCTATTCGTTACTAAATATAAGTATTTGCACAGAGTGGCAATCGATGGATGTTTAAATCTCATCAATCATAGGTAGTAGGACATCCAGATAGGCCAAGAGTTTGTTTGCCAACTCAATGATTGGAAATGAAATGATAGAGTTTGAGTGTGTTCTACAAGTATCTTATGTAATCTTCAAATTCTATTCTCATAGTAAATTAAATTTATCTTTTCTTTACAGATTTACAAAATGGGGGGTTTGAAGACCCTCATCCTGTTACAGCTGGTTTACTTTTGTGGATGTATGGACCAGCTGCACATAGTTTACGAATGGAAGCAAATAGACTACGAATTCCCGACACCAGAGGCTCGTCAGCAAGCCTTAGACAGCAAGACTTTCATACCACAAAATAACATTCCCATGGGCTTGGAGATTTATGAAGACAGACTGTTCATAACTGTCCCGAGATGGAGGGTTGGGGTTCCTGCTAGTTTAAACTATATTAACCTGAAAGGTGAGTATTTTTTCATCGTCGCTTTGTAAAGGCCTTTTAAAGTGCAACAGATTATATATTTTATTATATTACTCTCATATAATATGTCTAAGGCCAGCACTAAGAAAACCAAAACATATCTATTGCAATTTAATTGGCCGAAATAAAGTGTGAACTTTTTGTAAGTACATAAGATTGGAATACAAATGTAATGTATTTGGCGTACCTCAAGGTAGCGTATCAGGTCCGCTACTGATTGTCGTTACAAAAGAAACCAAACCTAGGAGAAATTCTGATTTTTCTTTTCAAATAGATATTGGTTATGATAAATAACTTTATTGAAGTCAATTGTCAAGTAAATTAAAATTAACTCTGAACAATGTTGGCATATTTCAAAGCGTTTTAGATGATCCAAATACGGAAACAGCTAAATTGCTTCATAATTAAGTTTTAAGTAGTTATAATATTGTATGTAGCAGTTAGCTTAGAAAAAGGTGCTATGGGATTGAAAATTTTTATGCACAAAAATCTTGTCTTAAATAAATAGAAAAAAATCAATTTATTGACTTTGCAAAATGAAAAAAAAGACATTAAAGATTGAAGAAAAACACTATACATTGAAAATATATCATTGACATTGTATGGTTTAATTTGACTGGTTCGAGTTTTAATTCTCAGGATAAATAATAAATAAAAATATCACAGGTGGTCATCACAATGACACGTTAAAAACGATGTGTTAAGCATATTAGTGATATTTTAGATACTCGTAACTATATATTTTATATGCTCGAAGTAGAAAATTTCATAATCATATAATTAAAATTAAATCGTGCTAAATACTTAATAAACGGAAGTAATTGTATTTAATATAACGTAAAGCAGTCGAATACAAAATGGTTGTTACGCCAATTTAAGTACTGTGAGTAATATGAGACCTTGATATATGTAACAAGGAAATTCCAATTGATAAATTTCAACACTCATTTAGTTTAGTTTATGCAGAAAAAATATTCTCCTTGATAGCATTTTTATGTAATTAGGTGCAAACGAACAGACAACTTACCTGATAGTGACTACCACCGCTCATGAACACTTGCAACTAGATAGATTTGCCTTTGTATGCTTTTCCCCTTCAAAGTTAAGGGAAGGAGGGGGTCTATTAGGCCACCAGTAACTCCACTCACTCATAGAAAAGCAAGGAAAGAATTGCTTAACACATTTCTGTGAGGCCGTGGTATCACACCTGTTGAGCCCGACCCATTATTTAAAGGAGTGTCCAGATCTATCTGGCGAATGCGCCACAAATGCGTCGCAAATGTACAGCTTGCTACCACTAGAGAGGCGCACCAAACGTAGGCTGTAAACGCACACGAACAATAAGCGCGCAGGGCCTCAATTCTGCTATTTTAATATTGTATCAATAGACTGTCGATGAAATGTCGTCGGAATAGTTTTGCACTTTTCCTATTCTACTAACTATGTAAGACCTATGGCCTCATTATGACTTGTCACTGATACAAATATCGTCGATGTCTTTGTAGCAGTTTGGTAAACGGTACATTTTAAATTTGTAAGAAAATGATATCATCATTGACTGTGAATTTATGTTAGTAGAATACTGTCATTTTGACCGATGTCAATGGTGTCTCAATGGCATCTCAATACCATGTCAATGGAATGCCAGTGGCTTGGCGTTAACATAAAATAGCAGAAGTGAGGCTCAGGTCACAAGCAGCTTTGCGAGCGGCGCATTCGCGGCACATCCGCCATATCTGGACACACCTTTAAAATATCGATGCTTGTGTTAAGTAAAAGTAAGCATTGTATATTTGATTACTTCATTCTCATTAAGGTCACATGCTTTCTAAGGGCAGACTATCTGTAAACGTTATGAGAATATTGAATTATAGACCCCAGTAAATAGAATTTGAATTTGTTTAACGTCGATCTTCTACAGAGTACAAGAAGTAGACTTTTTCCTGTTGTCTTTATCAATCATCAACAGCCTTTAATAGTCCACTGCTGGACATATGCCTCTTCTTAGAAAGGAGGTTTTAGCCTACTATACCACGCTAGCCAGACGGGTCAGTATGGGGTTTTTGTCAAGTTTTCCTTCTCTTTGCAGTGCTGTTTTCCTGAGTAGTTTGCTCCCTTAGTCGACTCTTACGACACCCACGGGATGAATAGGGATGGTTCCTGTTGTCTTATTAGTTTAAATTACTTCGACTTTACCTAGTCTTATGTAATGCTCCTAACAGATAAATAAAATATTTAAGAGTAGTATGTCAATAATGCAATGTAAAAACTGTAACTGTAAACTGTACTGAGGTACTGACGTGTTTCATCTATGTGATCATTTTGCTGACCAAACCTCTAAACGAGACGCAATTATAAAGCGGTGCTTTATGAGCCGTCACTTTTTAATGTTTATCTCTACTTTCACCTCGTAGAGACGTAGTAATAGAGAGAGATAGAGAGATATATGTCTTGTGGATTCATCACATAGTAATCGTCCACTTCACTATTTGTCACCTAGATTTTTGTCACTGTGACGAACGAAAAACTGTTACGTCACCGAACAGTGATTACTGTTTATAAAATGCTAGAGAAATTAATTGAATATGGATGATCATTAGGCCTTAAAATCCACAGTGGACCTAGGCGAACTCTTGTCTAAGATAGTGTCCTTTGTGTTATTTGATGATATGTCCTCCTATCCAGGATATGATATACAGTAATGTTAGATTTGTTCCCAGACACTTTGCTGCATAGTGGCCGTCTCGCCAGCGTGGTATAGTAGGCCAAAACCTCATTTCTAAGGAGAAGCCAATGTCAGATAGTGGACTATTAAAGGCTGTTGATGATGTGTGATGATAGTTTTTACAAGGAGTCCAATATAACCTATTACTATAGGCGTTGTGCGTTAAGTTCGGTTAACTAATTCCTTCGAATTAATTGAACACGGTACAACTAAGTGTTACAATACACCGGACACAGACATCGTCAAGTTCCTTAATTATCGTGTTAATTAATCAAGTGTCGAGATACGCTTACAATAGGCAAAGTATCTTAGTTGTAAATCTTAGTTTATTTATGCGTTACAAGTTTAGATAGTAAACTTACTGCGTACGCATTATATGTAAACAGGGACCTAATCGCGATAATAACTACAAGGTAAAACATTTTCAGGTAACCATAAAATAAGGTACTATTTTTTTTTGTTGATGGGATGAAGAATCTCTTCGGATCTCCGGCTCCTTAGGGATACCGGAGTCAGGAGTATGTGTTGTTTCCACTAAAAACTACCCTGACGGCCGGGCTCAGGCGTCCTACTCTGGGGAGGATACGGACCATGTGGTCCCTGTCGAATTGCCGCACCTCAGCAGGCCCTATCCCGGGGAAGAATAAAAAATTAGATACTTACAGGTAAATTAGCTTCGAGAAATTTTTGCGTTTGTAGTAGTGTATGGTTGTGCGTGTTTCCACTTTCCACTATCAAGTGACGATTTTTTGCTTTAAATTGAAATATCACGAAAACGGTGCGTCCTAGGCCAAAAATAACAAACATTTTGACCCCCCCGGAGTTTTAAAAACCTAGATGAAAGGAAAAAAAAAAATTTAAATATCGGTCTCTCCTCTTTGAAGTTTCACTTCTATCGTGTGTGAATTGCACACACACTTTTTTTTTATAAAGTCAAAACCTTTTTCTTTAAAATAAAAACTTGTTTTTCTTGAAAACAAAAATCAGAGTGTTGCTAGGGATAAGTATAAAATTAAATAGTAATTTTAGGATATCGAAACATTTTTGTATAGAACCAAAGCCAGAACGATATAGTGGAAACGCGCTCTAAGATCTGAGTAATATACACACCACTACATATGCAAAAAATTCTCGAGACTAATTTCATTGTACATATTGTAATTATATACATAGGGTTTTAAAGAGTTTGCAACGAGCTAGCGAGTTATCTGAAATGGCAAGTTCGCGAAAGCTGCTTGCTTACCATCATAAAACAATTTCCTAATACTTTTTAGAAAGGTATATCTTCTCCGAGAACACCATGTAAACAGATAAGGCATTACAATGAGTCAGAACATAGTATTCTACAAACAACACGAAAGCGGAACTTTGAAAGTCATATAAATGCTGACTCACGCGTTAATTTACGAAAAGGATTTTCCCATGAGCGTACTTTAATTTGTTTCTATTCCATCAGGGTATGTCTTTTGTGTGACACCCCAAAATAACACTAATTATTGTAATATTATACATGAAAGTTTAAAGGGGAGCGGCTGGTGTAATGAATTCCTGTCATGTAGAAAAGCAATTAACCTACCATCTGATAAAAAAAACCTAATTTAAATGTTTCTAAACTCACACAAAACACGACAAATATAGGCTGGTCTAATTCATAGATAACAATAGAATTATTATAAAATGCTTGTTGCCACCCGTGCCTTTGTAATTTACTTCATTTATTTATTTGGTATGCCAACAGCACACATGCACTGCAGTTATAAAAAATTGCGGATCATAAAAAATATCTGAGGGTCAATTCTTGTAAAAAAATCGTTCAAAATTCAGTTCCCATCCACTCCGATCTCACAAATGTCATAAAGGGTATTCTCGTAGTTACGAGTAAGTATTAAACTTCTAAAGTTGACTGTAATGTGATTATATTGTATTGTGATCGAAAATTGAATCTATACTTAATATTATAAAGCTGAAGAGTTTGTTTGTTTGAACGCGCTAATCTCAGGGACTACTGGTCCGATTTGAAAAATTCTTTCAGTGTTAGATAGCCCATTTATCGAGGAAGGCTATAGGCTATATATCATCACGCTAAGACCAATAGGACCGGAGCACCAATGAAGAATGTTTCAAAAAACGGAGAAAATTTATTACTATTGAGAGACGCAGACGAAGTTGCGCGGGTCAGCTAGTCATTAATATGCTAGTTTTAGTAATAATTTACCATGTTACTACGAAAATAACTTTTATGACAGTTGCGTGATCGAGGGTTGATCGGAACTGAATGTTGACCTACCTTTTATTACGAGAATTGGCTTTCTGATGTTACATCTTCATTTTCTTTTCACACATATATGTAGTGACGGATTAAGAATACGGAATGTCACTACCCCAATTCATCCCGTGGGTGTCGTAAGAGTCGACTAAGGGCGCAAAACAACGCAGGACACCAGCTCTGCAAAAAGAAGGAAAACTTGTCACAAACCCTATACCAACCCGTCTGGCCAGTGTGGTATAGTAGGCCAAAACCTCCTTTCTAAGGAGAGGCCTATGTTCAGCAGTGGACTATTACAGGCTGATGATGTGATATATTTAAAAAAAAATGTAATTCTAATGAAAAAAAATGACAACAGCACTGCAAAAAGAAGGAAAACTTGAAACAAACACTATACCAACCCGTCTGGCCAGCGTGGTATAGTAGACCAAAACCTCCTTTTTAAGGAGAGGCCTATGTCCTGCAGTGGACTATTATAGGCTGTTGATGAATGAAAATTGGTAGATATATTATAAAAAATACATCAAATTAAAAGTTGATATATAAATAAAACAAAAAGGTAAGCGTAAAACTACTTAAATTCAAATAAAGTTCATTGTTGAAAAAAGCTTCCACATAAAAAATATGTGTTGCCTTCACGTACAGAAACGTTACCACTTCACCATATTTGTTCCGTACGTTAATGGTTTATTTCACCACGAAGTAAATTTAACAGGACCTTATCCATTAGGTTAGCCATGTTAGTTAGTTCCTTTAATGAAATAATGGCAACTAAAAAAAAAGTGTTTTTGTTAGCTTCCATTACCATTAGTTCGGAGGTTAATTTACCGTGACTGACATTCAGTGAGTGTGGGAACAAAGAAAATGGTTGTTGTATGAAACCACCGAAATATCAGCATCGATACTTAATTAAATAATATTGAATGAGTCATATGACAATAATGGACTCCAAGAACAATGGGGTATAACTTCCTTCTTGTGTTGTGTCTTAATAAGTCCACAGTATTAATGTGTAGTTTATCCTTGTCTGAACTATTTCTGGGACCGAGTAAATGATAATTTGAGGAAATCTGTCAGGTTACATTCAAACTCAAACTCTCTTTACTTCATAAAAATTTTAAAATTGTTTGAAATCGTCTTTTATGTAGACTTTAAAGTCATAGATCAACACACACAAAAGCAACAATCTCTGTTTTGTCAAATAGTTAGCAAATAAATTAAACAAAAATCAAACCCATACAAAATCTTTTGATCTGCCTGTGCCGAACTACAACCGCCCGTTTCCAAGGGGTTGAGCCTTATGAGAAGAAAGGGCTAACAAACTCATGGCCACTCTTGCAATTCACAGATAGATACAATAGCATCTTAAATATATCACAATATTGTTTTGATGTGTGCCAGTATGTCCGTTATTAAGGAGTCCTCATTCAAGTGCGTGAAGGAGGAAGGTATACTAGGATTGGTTTTAGTCACAGCGGTTTCACATGTGATTGTGATTTCGTCATGATAAAGAAAAATGACATTAAAATCAATTAAATTTCTTTTATCAAAGATGAAGAATTGGTTTTGTAAAGCAGTCACAGGTGTGATGATATGATAAATAAATCATATGATTTATCACATGTGAATGTGATATTATTCGATCCCTACTAGGCACCTAGACACACATCTCATGTTTATGGTCCTTAATACCTTCACTAAAATAGGAGATAGAACAGCAGTTATCCTATTAGAGACTTGCGGTATCTCTTATTATTTTTTCCTTACCCCGGCTTACTTTCTACCTCTCGAAAATGGAAAAAGAATTAAGAAGAACGTAGTTATATATTTATTAGCTAATTTTGTTTTGGCAAAAATTTCGGATATTTCGGATTATTGTTCGTCTTTTAGCCTTAAAAATAAATGTGTAAAGAATTAAGAAGAAGGTACTTATATATTTACTAGCTAATTTTGTTTTGGAAAAAAATTTCGGATATTTCGGATTATTGTTCGTCTTTTAGCCTTAAAAATAAGTGTGTAAAAATTTACTAAAACTATCCTTGTCAGAAGTCATCCGAGATTGCTGTTTCAAAAACCTTCCGTCATCAAACCAGAGACATGTCATTTTTATAGATAAACCATAAAGTAAGCAGAATGCTAATTTAACTCCAGTCGTATTTACTCGAATAGTGTGCTCGCTTCCAAATTTAGTGGGACATGACTTGAATCGTGCCGGGTTGTAGACTTAAACACGACTTAATATGACATTTCATATAATACATACACAACTAATCTAACTTTAATTAATTCCAAATAAATATTCTATTTCAGATAACTCAACGACATCACCAAAGCTAATACCGTACCCAAGCTGGGCAGCGCATTCTATCGGCACCGACGGCAAACCCTCAGAAATCATCTCTCCCTTCCGTGTCAGGGCTGATCGCTGCGGTCGTCTCTGGGTCATCGATAACGGTAAAATCGGGAACTTGGACAACAATGCCACGAAATATCCCCCTTCGATAATCATCTACGACTTGAAGACCGATAATTTACTCCGAAAATATGTCTTTCCTGCGGATCACATTAAAGAAGATTCAGGTTTCGCCAATATTGCAGTGGAAGACATGGATTGCGAGGCTACTTATGCCTATGTAGGCGATTTAGGTAAACCAGGCCTCGTGGTATACTCCTGGGAAAAGAATGAGTCCTGGAGAATCTCTCACCATTACTTCCATCCAGATCCCTTGGCTTGCGATTTCAGCGTAAAAGGTTTCAACTTTAGCTGGACTGATGCTTTGTTTGGTTTAGGACTATCAGCACCTAATGCTAATAACTACAGTACTCTTTACTTTCATCCAATGGCTAGCTACGATGAGTTCTCAGTATCCACGGAATACTTGAGAAACCAGTCACTCGCAGAAGGTAACTTTAATGCTTTCAAACTTTTGGGCAGTCGTGGGCCAAACGCCCAATCCAGCGTGTCTTTTGTAGACCAAAAAACTGGAGTATTATTCTATTCATTAGTGAACTTAAACGCTGTTGCTTGTTGGAAGACGTCAAACAAGGAGTACTTAATGAAGAACCAAGGCAGAATCTACATGAATGAAGACACTATGGTATATCCAACTGACATAAAAGTTGATTACAACGATAATCTCTGGATCCTGTCGAACCGAATGCCTATTTGGATGTACGGCAAATTGGACCTTAACGATGTTAATTTTAGGGTGTTTTCAGCACCTGTAGTCGATGCTATAAGCCATACAGCTTGTGATATTACGCCTAGATCTGATATTTTGGATAAGTTCGTGAATAAGATTAAGAACGCTACGAACACAATTGTTTCGAAAATAAAGCCCAATTCAGGTTTTGTAGCATTCCCCTTGTCTATTATAACTTTAACTTTATTGAGTTGGGCCACTTCGATTGTAATTTAAACATAATTAGTACGTACTTGCTATTACATTCCTTAAAAATATTGCAGAAAAAGGATGGTCATTAAAATATGATTGTCAACTACACCTAGTCTTTAAAAAAGGTAAAAATAACTTCCATTTTTTTTTTATTTGAAGAAACAATTTCAAATGTCATCAATTTTATTATTATTTATTTATTTATTAATAGGAAGAGCAATAGTTTTTAACAGTATACATGAAATGATTTAATAATTTTAAATTCTTTCACCAAAAAGAGTTTCACAACTTACTTGTAATACTAAATTGTCTCTTAAAATAGATACTAATAAACAGAAAGTGCACTTCTGCCTGAGCATTTTATGCAACGGCATTTAATCTATCTCAAACATACAATATTCCATACATTCCAAATATCCTTCTCTGAATTTCCTTTTAAACCTATCAGAACAATTCATCCATTTATAAAAAAAAAGTTAATTTTCTCGTTTTACTAATATTTACTATTGCACTATCATTTGCATATGTAGTTGTGAAAGAGATAGTTCAGACAAATCTTAGGATAAATTACCTCAAGTAATATCTGAAGTTCTAGAATTACTAAAGATTCCCAAGGTGGCCTCTCATGTTCCTTGATATTACGGACGACGATGGTGTGTGTTTCGACTTCGATTTCTCATCTGATCAATATTAATTTCCAAAGGCAAATAGAACGTGCAGGATCTCGTGGTGATATTTAGTAATAATGATTATATTTTGTGCATAAACGAAGTAAAGAGAACACCACGCTAGTGGATATCAAACTTATCAGAACCCTTCTGAGTTTATTTCCCTTCAACGACCTGGTGAGCGACCATCCGTATTGACACAGATCATGAGAAGCCCCATATTTCTAACTCACAAGATGATAGATAAAAATTCAAAATGGCTGAAAACAAAATTGACCGATGCATAATTTCTTAAAAAAAGTTGAATATTTTAAATATAGAATTAAAAAAATTAAACCTCACGTCAAACAATCTAACACATTTGCGTTGTGTAAATGTGTTAGAATTTCGTGTTGTGAATTAAAGTTTTGTGTCACTGAAAAGTACCTATATGACAAGTAAAAGCACCTTTTAAAATTTATAAGTAAATAACTGCACATTTGCACATCGTAATTAAGTATTTTCAGTCTTTTATGTACGCGTTAGAGTTTAAATTGCTTTGAACGCGGCTTATGTTCACGTATTTAGGTAGTTTTTTTTGTGCTAAAATAATATTATATATAGCGACGGTTTACTGGAGTGATTACACCGCTGTTAGCACCCTTTGCGATGTGCTTACTAAAGAAAGAGAAGTTCGCTATTTAAAATGTATTTTTGATTTAAGATTGTGTGACTAACCAGTGATTAAATGCTAGTCGTTAAAAGAAAAGGTTGGTGTACAATGAAAAATAGCAGCTTACTAGCATTATAAAGGAATCTCAACAATATGATTAATACACGCTGGTATAAAAATCTCTTCAATACAAATCTTCCAAAACAAAGGACCATTCGGATGTGTGAAGGATTTACGTCATGTTGTTAAAGTCTCGAAATAAAATGTGAAGCTGGCTTTAGACTTCTAGGACGTATCCTAAATACCTAGTATTGGTCATAGATAATATAATACAATATTTATAACTAGAAAATAGACTGCTTGTAAGCATAGACAATGTACATGTGATGACAGCCATACATTCCGTAACAAAATTGTGTATCGACTAATTTGTTATTTGTACTTATTGGTTTGTGCCTTAAAAGTGATATCATAAGCTAATCTAGTATAGAATGTACACTTTTAATTTGTAAATATTAACTTTAATAAACGCTTAAAGCTATGTCGTGTTTTATTTAGAACAGCGCCATCTATTGAGTAAAACATAAACCTGTTCTGTTTTTGTGATGTCTTAGATAATAAGTAGATGTCAGCACGAGTATTATTACAATGTGTGTGTGATTATCATATTGGTTATACACTCAAATATAATGGTTTATATTTATCCCTCAATAATATGACTAATAAATAAAGAATATATTATATTAAAATATACCTACTAGACTTTCCCACTGCTTTGCTCACATGGACTTCGATGTTCTCAATCAATTGAAAATAATGCCAGACTGAATATAGTGCCACATCCGTACAACAATTCTGGCGCCATTGAATCACAAATATCCATACATCCGTCGTCACAAACTTTTTCGTTTGAAATATTTATGGGCTGTTGTAAATGTACCAGATTTACAAAAACCATTAGATTTGATTACAGTGCAAACAATATAAATAATATGTACTCCTGCACAAGGAAATATCACACATATAAGACGTCAACTCTTTTTGTGATGTCATGGAAGAAAATAAGCCGTGACGAGCTTGCTGCCTCCCTTTCTTCTCTTTCCCTGCGGTCGTCCTACTATATAGTATATTATATATTGCCTAGTTATTATATAGAATGGCTGGCCACTTGATAAGACACGACAACTTCTTTAGAATGATACTGGACGGAAAAATAGAAGGTAAGAGAAAACGAGGACGCCCTAGATCAACATACATACAGCAAGTGAAGAAGAAAGCAGGAGTCGTGGCCTATCAAGACTCCACTCCACACAATGCTCCACCGACAAGGGCTTGGCTCTTAAATTGAGAGTGAGGCATTATATAGAACACCGAATCATACAGATTATCGTTAATATATGTAATTATGAACCTAAACATAAGCTTTATCAAATCTTTAAACTCTTGCTAAAAGACTGTCAAAAAATGAACTTAAAAGTAATTACATATACGAGTACACCTATACATATATATAAGGGTATGACACTAAAGTGGTACCAACGAAAGTTGAGCAAAAACTAATTCACCACTAATAATAATTATTTTGATACTGCTTACTATTAATGCTAACCTAGGCAGACCCTGTTTTATAGTAACCACAGTGCAGATAAACATACTTATTATATGCTTCATATATGCTATATGCTATCATAATAAGCTTGACCGCCTTCTCAATAATTGCATTCGATTCGTTTTCAATTTACGCAAATATGATCACGTGTCTCAGCATCGCTCCTTTTTGAAGTGGCTTCCAATTCACCAACGCAGAGAGACACGGGCATTAACTACCCTATATTCTTTACTCTTTTCTCCAAGTGCTCCTTCTTCCTTAACTAGTCTACTTCAATATTTAGGTGCAAATCACGCTAGTCGGCTCTTACGACACCCACGAGTTGAGTAAGGGTGACCTTTTGTATTCTTAATCCGTCACCACATGGGCAATACACTAAGGAAATAATCAATCAGTTAATTAATATTAAGTAGGTAAGTACTTCAATAAAGACAAACACTATTGAAACAGACACATAAAAATTGTAACATTGTATAGAAAGAAAGAAAGAAAGAAAGAAAATACGTTTATTAGTCACAACACAAACACAGCCAAAAAAGGAATTACAGATATAACATAGAAGAGAAAAAGAAAAGAAACAATTTGCTCAACTGAAAAATAGCACAAACAATAACAAAAACAAACAAGTACAAAACAATAAAATTATTACTGTGTGTGACTAAAGGGCCGCAACTCAGCCTATGCTATAGTCCCTAAAAGTGACCACAGCGCTTATTTTCAGCTGAAGCCCAAAGGTACCAAACTGTTGGTCATGGCAAAATTCAATTATCTTCATCTTTGAGCTCAGATTAATCATATTGTTAATAATAATCATAGAATTACCTTATTTTATGGATATGTAAGCAAACGAGCACCGAGTTACGGGTCACCTGATGGTAAGTAACTATCTGCGTTCATGGACAAGGCCGTCTTGGGCTATGTTACAGCCCCCGGACAAGAATTTTTGGCCCTGTTGGACAGTAAAACTTTAGGTGTGTAAATGAGCGCTCTCCACTACAATTGGTAACATTCTAGTAGCAATTCCAACATTTGGGAAAGTTTCTTCTAGTTTATAATTCACTAATTCCTTTGCTATGTTCTTTAATTTGGTTTGAGTTCAAAATCATTAAGGTCCTCGTGATACAATTCTTTAAATTCAATGCATTGTTTAATCGTTTGTTGTTAAGTGAGAAATAACACTAAAACGATTGCCAATTTCTTAATCTGCTGTCAAACGATTTTTCGAATGTGCAAATAATGTATCGATACAAGTATCTACACGAAAATTTTCCTTGCTATGCATGCAAAAAAAGTGACACATGTGCTTATTCGATAGCCACACATTCAACAGCCTTTTTCTTTTTTCCGTGCGGAAATCCCCTCGGATACCACCTATCGGTGGCATGTCGGACTCGAACCGACTAAATCCACACGCCGTCTCGGGTACTAATAGCCGGGGAACCAGGTATACCCTAGAAAGGAAGTCCCTGGTGCCCCGACATACCTCGGGCCATCTACAACAACAGGTAGACGACCCCCCCGTGTGGGAACCCCGTGTTCCCTCTGCTCCCTGGAAGCGAGCGCGCTTCGCAACGTGCTATAGAGTATACTGCACACGGGACAAGAATTGCAAACTTACATTTTTCTATTATTTTTGACTGAGAACTTCTTTACTGTTTTACCAACTTTATTACTAGTTTATCCTACTTCTCGGGTGTTCTTAGGTCGGAAGCTACACGCGTCAATTAAAAAAAACGTTTAGTAAACTCCAGACTCCAGGTCCTTACTTACGAGGTACTTTTTAGGTGTCTTCCAAAACTATTATCAATTCGACCAATACAATTTTTAAGTTTTAATTATATAAGTAGGTATATAGAGTTAACGAAAATGAAAAAAAGAAAACAGACCATAAGGCGATTTTACAGCCCAATAAAAAAAAATACTACTCATTTCCTATCTGGAAGGTTTGGCAATGCCACATTTTAAATATTACTTAAAAAAGCAAAAACCAAACGTTCAAAATTCAAATAAAAATAAAAGCCGCTAGAACTGCAAATCCTTCAGTGTGACCAATGACACTCGATATGTACCCTCCACACATTTTAATAAATTCTAATAAGTACTATCTACAAACATATTTATAATACTCTTTATGACCTCCATAAATTAAACTATTTCTGAGTATCATGGCCAGTAGAGTGTTGCCATATATCTCGCGAATAGATTGTTGTTCGGTCGTGTTCAAATATATTGCAAATGGTTGTGGTCGGAATAAATTCTAGAAACAAAACGACTCCAGAAATTAATGATGCTGAAAAGGTACGTTGACAGTATACCCTTGAGTCGCAAAATCCCTTCATCAATGATGCTGGTTCTGGCATTCGGTTGCAAAACTTCAAACTGCAAGATTCTGCAAATTGCTGATAATCTTTAAAGAAACGTAGCATATATGTAAAAGCGTAACACTGATTGCTAATTAATTACTAATTATCTACCACTTTCAATAAGGAAAACTTTCTCGGAGTTCAGTTTGCCTTTTCCATTTCCATTTGCAACTTAGCAAGATAGGATTTTTAAACGAACGATTCAGTACTAGACACAAACCTCTCAGATTGACTTCCAAGAAGATAATCTGAGAGGTTTGTGTGTGTCCACCTTATCTGCGGATTCCTTCGAGAACTGGTACCATCAACTATCTGTTGTGTGCCTCAACTACCTATAGTCACTTTACCACTCCTCGAGTACTGTTAAAAAACTAAGTCACGTACGGTTCTGGTTACTGATGAAGTTAAGCACATACTACGCCATTGCGTTATATTCGCGGTTCCATCTGTGATATTAAATACTTAAATAATTTGAACATATTAAGATGGAGAATCCGAAATGGACGATCAAGCAGAAATGCGTTGAGTGCTTCAAAGGACCCAGGAACTTTATCAAGACACTGATTATGATTATCTGTGTAGCGGCTGTATGTCAGCAAGTATGCATTCAATTTTCCAGTATAATATAATTCATTAATTTAGAAATTGTTAAGAGTACTAATAACTTGAGGTTTTTTTTCCAGATATCAGCATGTGTTAGGAAAATGATTGACATTCCGGTGACAACTTACACGCATTTCGACTTTAACAAGACACTTTTATACCCTAGCGTCACATTTTGCAGAGACCCACCGTACAAGTTTGGTAAAATGCATGTAAGAAACACTTATTATATGATATCTAACCAAATATATTTAAAAATATGAAGTCTTATTGACCACCAACATCAAGTACATATTCCAAGACACGAGTTTTTAGTGCTTCACAGACAGGAAGCATTTCTTTAAAATTGTCTGTAAAAGTTGTGAGATCTAATTTTCTTTAATTTGGTTAACTAACAGACATAGATATCTTTGCGTCTTAAATAAAGATAATGACGGAATGCCGTATGCAGTAATGTTTGAGTATGCATAAAGGCTTATTACCGATTTAGATGATTGTTATGTGTTTATGTGGCCGTGGAGCGCTAAGATATTCCATTTAATTAAGACACAAAGATATCTAATATTGAGGCGGTGACTACAACATGTTGTTAGTTTAGAAATATCGCTACCAGTGGAGATATATCAGTGGTTTATATATGGAATAGGAGAAAATAAACCCTTAAAAATCTTTTATCCTTACTGATAGCGATAATCGAAAAAAAAAACCCTACCAGAGCTATGCGTAGGGATATAGGGGCAAATAAGATGAATCTAACAACGACACCAGGCCTCAAACTCTAAAATCCATCAAGCCGTTGAGAATTTAGACCGTGCCAAGGAAAAATACCTGCACACACTCGAAAAGGGAGTAAACTACGCAGGACAACAGCACTGCAAAGAGAAGGAAACTTGAAACAAACCCAACGTGGTATAGGCCAAAACTTCCCTTGTAAGAGGAGGCCTATGTCCAGCAGTGGACTATTAAACGCTGTTGATAATGATGATGATGATTATTGTATCATCTCTAACTAAATAGTTTTTCGCTGGTAGTGTAACGGATAGATGACATCGTGGCCTGGACCAGACTGCGATATCGCCAACTAAAGGAGGCCGCTCATGATCGAGAGGTGTACCGTCTGCTGACCTCCAAACTTCATTTTGAGGATGGCACCCCATGATGATGATGAGTGTAATGGGTGATGTCTAAACTCACGAATATCGTCCGATCAGAGGTCGATCGTGACGATAATGATGAGAAAAATATAACCCTTCTTTTGGCGCAGTCAGGTAAAAAGACAGGAATAAGATGAAAAAGAATTTAAGCGACAATTAGATCTCACAACGTTTTGCTCCAGAAGAACCGTTTGTCGGATGCGGGATTTTTTAAATATTTTTATTGTAGTATCTAAAACTTCTTACCCATAGGATTACGATCTGTATGGCCATCCATTTTATGTAAATGCCTGGGAAAACTTTAACTTTGCCAATAACAGCCTGGACCATTTATGGGAAGATATAACATTCAACGAAACAGACATATTTTTAGCTGCTGGTCTCGATGGACTTCCAAAAAGTGAGATATTCTCTTTGATTAATTACTTTATTCTTATATTTGTCGGTGTAGTGACGGATTAAGAATACGGTGTGTCAACACCCCTATTCAAGTCGTGGGTATCGTAAGAGCCTATTAGAGAGAGAGAGAGAGGTACTTTAACAGTCACACCGACAGTTTTTTTTGGATGTAATTGTTTTCTTGTATGAAAAATGCGAAAGTTTGTGCGAATGGATGTACGGTTGTTTGAACAATACAATCACGCCACAACTGATCAACAGATATGGATGAAATTTTGACACATAAGATAGATAAGACTTGAATAACACCTAGGCTCTTTGTCAAGGTGCAAATTGTTTAAGAGAATTTACATCACATCCGTGGGAGAGGCATTCTTGAGCATTACTGCTGTTGAGCAATTTCTTCGCTGCTTTTTACCGAGTGAGTGAGATGACTCCTTCTAGTTCCGGAGAGGGTACTTAAAGGGCAGAAATGCACTTGCGATCCTTCTGCTCGTTTGTCACCATTCCATAAAAAAAGCGTTCGAAACCGCAAACAAAAGCTAGTTATAAAACTACTAAAAATCTTAACAAAGAAACGAACTTATTTCTGCATTAGTTAGGATTTATGCTTTATTGGGTTCCATACTCAAAGGTTGAAAATAGAACTGGCTGTCACCGACTAGTCAGGAGATAGATAGAGACTGATTTGACTGCACGGATGGCGTAGTGGTACGCCGCTCACTACTACGCTGAGTGCTGTGGGTCCGATCCCCACATGGGACGACACTTTGTGTGATTTACAAATTGTTGTTCTGAGTCTGGGTGTTCTTTGTGTCCGATTCATGTATGTTTGTAAAGTCCCCCGAGACACAGGATTTATTCCTAGTGCGGGAGTTGTCTTTCTAATAAAAAAAAAAAGAATTTTTACTTTTTAATTCGCTACAAAAACATTTAATTTATTTTATTATTTTTTAAACAAATATTTGTTTTATTAGACATAGAAATTTCACCGACTATGGGCATTGCCCAAGGTCGCTGCTACACTTTGATCCCTAAGATCCTAAGTACCGAAACACCCAGCCATAGGGGATATTCAGTGACTCTGCAGCACACGCAAGAGGATATAGACACCACTATCAGTCGAATACCACCCGGGTATCATGTATACATACATTATACAAAAGAGCCTTTTACTGGTAAGTAAATTATTTAAAAAATATACTTTTCTAAATGACTTTAAAAATAAGGTTTCTATCTCGGTTGTTTTTTTTTTGTTAACTCAGAACTCCATTATTTGTGAATCGATTTGGAAAATGATTTTTTTTATTTACTAGGGTATACTTAAGTTTTAAGAAAATACCACCCTAAGAGTGAAAAATTAAAGAATGCAGAATACGTTTACAAATAAACGTAGCGTAAGCAGTGATTCAAGTGTTCTTTTTTAAAAAGTGAATTATTTCTATTTGTTGTACGGTTTTGTTGTATTAACTAAAAACTATTAAACTTTTGCATGTCAGTCTTTCCGTTTGGCTGTTCGAAGCTTATCTGACTGACAGTTTTTAGTATTAGGGAGATGAATTTTTGCAGAGCTAAATATATTGAGAATCCGCAACAAATGCTAAAATGAACATGTCAGTTGATGATATGTTAAAGGTGGGCTCGCCCAAAGTTTGTTAGTCTCCATCTGCATATAGAAATGAGTCTTTCTGTAACGTTCTTAAATGTGGAAGAGCGAAGCTTCGCCAGGAATGACCTTATTACGAATACTCATTTTTTCGTTGTTTTTCACTGATTCCGGGAGGGGGGAACTCGCGGCATCGCACTTGTGACTTAAGATTTCCAGGTGTCCATGAGCGGCAGTAGTCACTTACCATCAGGTGACCTTCCTGAGGTCTCGAGTTCGATCCCCGGGTCGGATAAAATGTTTGTATGATCTGCAAATATTTGTTTCGGAGTTTGGGTGTTTTCTATGTATAATATGTATGTAATTACAAGAAAAAGGAATAAGGAATAAGGATTCTATCAATCAATTTAGCTTTATTATTTATAATACAAACTCTTCTTAGTTTGAAACTAGATGGCGTTGTGTCAGATATCCGAAAATATTTATTATTAATTCTTCAGAAAAAATATCAAATAGTTTTAAATAGTTGGCAAGGATGCTACTGTCATACTGTAATCCAGGTCTTAGACGCTGAGTCACTATTGCTTTCTTATATTTTAGAGGTAACCGTCTACAATGGTGGACTTGTAGACAGTTTATATGTGAATGTTGGTGAAACGCTGAAGGTCAAGTTAAAGGTGGACAAATATCTAATGATAAGCGATGCGGATAACCCTTGCACAACGGAGGTTAACTATAGTACAAATGCTGTAAGTTTTTCATTCTCTTTCTCCTCTACATGGATCCATTTTCTTTTTATATTTCTTCCATAATATGTTATGTTAATTACTAATCGTATCCTACCACGTTTCGCTGTAGTATACTGTGGTTGCATTGAAGAGAAATAAAGAACGATTTGAATGACGCGGAAATAGATAAAAACAATGTAAGATCAATCTTTGCGGCACCTTTTTAAATTTTTGAAGCGAATTTTTATAAATATATAGATATAGTCCGTGTGGTGACGGATTAAGAATACAGAGTGTCACCACCCCTATTAATCCCGTGGGTGTCGTAAGAGGCGACTAAGGAAGCAAACTACGCAGGACAACAGCACTACAGAGAGAAGGAAAAGTTGAAATAAACCCTATACCAACCCGTCTAGCCAGCGTGGTATAGTAGGCCAAAACCTCTTTTCTAAGGAGAGGCCTATGTTTAGCAGTGGACTGTGTGATAATGTGATGTGATGTGATATAGATAACCGCTAATCTTTTAGATATAATATAAGCGTAATTTTTGATTCATGATCTTTGGAGCGATTTGGTAAAAAGGGACGGCAATTTGATTTGATCAGTGAGCGCTCGCGGTGTTAGAGTTGACCGTGAGACACCAGATGTTCATACACATTATAATTATGTCACTACTGTCAGCCTAAGACTGAACAGAATAAAATATTCTTTACTGTCCCTCCGTTTAGAATTAAGTAGCCTATCATTTTGAAATTCAAAATGTTTGAGATTAAAAAACATTAGAATATAGAGAATGATTTGAATCATTACTTACTTACCCGTAAACTTAAAAAAAAAACATAATATAATGAGTCTTTTTCGAAATGTAAAAAGCGTTTGGGAAAATTGTAAGCTTGTTGTTTATTGTTTGTATTTTTTTTTCTCCTAATTTTAATTTTATTGCACTTTCAATTTATTGTAACTACTAAGTACTTTGCTTATTTTGGCTCCATTGTATCATAAAATTATTATTTACTTAGTTGAAAATACGCATGCTGTTGTCTCCTGTAATTGAAGGAGTACACATAACAAATACCCGTGTGAAATGTATTTTTGATATTTTGTGTACATCCTTTATTGGAGATCCTTAAATAAAGAAAATAAATAAATAATATTAAAAAAATTATACCATATTCATACCATGTTATACCTATACCAACCCGTCTGGCCAGCGTGGTATAGTAGGCCAAAACCTCCTTTCTAAGGAGAGGCTTATGTCCAGCAGTGGACCATTAAAGGCTGTTGATGTGATGTGATGATTAAAAAAATAAGCATATGCTGTAAGTACTCCCAGTTTATCATCTGGCGTGTGGTCTAATGGTTAACAATCTTGATTGCTAAGTTAGAGGACAAGGATTCAACTCCCATCCAGGACAAATATTGTGTGACGAGTACGATCATTTGTTCTGTGTCTGGGTGTACCTAAAATCTGTATGTATTCAGAAAAATAATGTTTTTTTTTTTGTGAATAACTAATGGTTTATATGACAGTGCACTACACGGTACGTGTGGGATCTAGTCGGTAAAGCGGCTGGATGTTCAGGACCGTGGATGCAGAGCGATCTGCCCAGGTGCAGTAACTACAGCAGTATGAAGACGCTTATCTCTACATATTTGGGGTTAGTATTCAAAGTAAGGTCAGCTTATAAATTGGCTAAAATTGTAATTTAGTTATTAAAAATTGTAACTTACCGTGGGAGAGCCAAGCTTCGGCACGAATGGGCCAGCTCGACCGGAGTGATACCACGTCCTCACAGAAAACCGGTGTTAAGCAATTCTTTCGTTGCCTTTCACTGAGTGAGTGAGGTTACCGGAGCCCAAATCCCCCCCCCCCCCCCCTGTTGACTCGAGCGGTAGGGACTCCAAGGGCAGCAACGCACTTGTGACTTTTGAGTTGCAGGTGTCCATGGGCGGCGGTAGTTGCTTACCATCAGGTGACCCGTCTGCATGTTTGCCCCCTTATACCATAAAAAAAAATTAAGAGCGTTTTAATGTAATTTTGTGTAACATACGAGTTTTTTTAGTTACGTTAATAAAGCAAGTCAAATATCGCTCGCTTAATTTTATGAAGTGAAACATTCAATTCAGTCACAGTAATGCATTCAATTCAGAGATATAATCTGACTGACGGGTTCTGCTGACAGTTTGTACATACAAATCATATTTATTTAGGGATATAAATGTTTTATTTTTAATTTTTATAAGTGTTCTTAAATCTATAGCATATGCCATGCTTAGTCTAGGTCTACCTAGCTTGGTGGAATATCAAATATTGCTATAAAATGTCTTCAAACTGAAAAAGTGCTAATTATTTTATTTCTTTTACGCTTAAAGTTTTTTCTCTGTCACTTTTAAAAAGACAACTTCCGCATTAGGTATTAATATTTGATGAATGATTCGAAGACTGCGGCAACAGAATGGGTGCGTGAAATATATTTAAAAAGGGAGGAATATGGGGAATTTCATCATATTAAGAGTACGAACTCATGTACGAATGTAGCAGCCTGGTTGATGTCTACTCTGATTCAATATCAATGATTGTCAGACACGTCAAACATATGAAAATGTGATCGAGCATTTTCATTTTGTATATTTCCTAGAATATAAGTAAATAAATAAATAAAATAAATTACATGTCACTGACTATCAAAAAAAACACCTTGAAAAATCCGAGCAAGTTGGGAATGAAGTCGTATGTCGGAACTGTACGTGCGTACACGCACGACTAGTTCGCACGAGACACCGTAGTACTCGGAGAGTCGGGATCGTTCCTGCGTGTTTGTACATGTTCGCACTAGTCAAATTTGTACGAAAAAGTCTTTTAGAGAAACGTAGAATGCCAAAATGCTTAGCTAAACTGCCGTAAATTATAGTACCTAACTTTAAAGACATGTTTCCGAGCTCGTACACGTCCAATAATAATCTTCAGCTGTAAGCCTTTATGTGCCATAGGCAGTTTCAATTTTATTTCTATATTTCAGGTTGTATCAAGCTCACAAATGCCCAGAATGCCTGCGTACCTGTCAAACTTATCTTTACAACGGCTACGTGGCCGACAGGCAGAAACAGTACACCTGGGACCCACACACTTCTAAGTTAGTGAACTTACGTGATTACAAGGCGGACTCCTCCTTGCAGACACAAGTAAGACTCGTGTATGCCCATCACTGTAGCATTGATAAGCAAATTGAAAGTCTCTTAATGAGCTATGCTGAGGGTTATGTTTCTCTGCAGGATCGAATTAGATATAACGAGATACTCAGATGTCGGAATGATACTGACAGCTGGATTGCTCAGTAATTTGCAGTGCAAAAGTTAGAGGACATAACACGTAGAACGCATGGTATATGGACCTGGAAAGTTCTGAAATAAAAAACACGGAAAGTGCAGCATAGGACGGTCAGATGACCATATACAGATCGCAGACTTGCAGTAGATATAGTCCGCTAGCAAACCGTCTACTAAAACTATATATGGGAGGACTAGTTCACTAGTGAATGATGATGATGTTCACAGCACACATCACCGGTTACTCCCAAAAATATTTAAAGGGTTAAATTTACTCAAATAGCTTAGCAAAACTTGTCTGACAATTTATTTTCTCCGTCTGTCTTTGCTGTTCAGCCGTGTCGTAGTAAACTTTAAGCCGAACTCAACCTAGATTGGGCAAAAAGCTTAATAAAACTTGCATTTAATAGTAATAATGTTTTTTCTGTAGGTATTCTTGTACTTCAATAGTATGATGGTGTCGGTGTACGAAGAACGGTACAATTATGATGGAAATATGTTACTTTCTGACATTGGAGGCAGCGTGGTAAGTAAATATTAACGTTATAATTTTAACTTTCTTAAACGTGATCGTGACAGAAAACCTTAGGTAGTGATTTCCATTCTTACTTAGAGTAAAATGATTGTGTGATGAGCACAATTGTTTCGTTTGAGTTTGTCTTTTATCTATGTAATGAAATGAATGACATTTCATTAATTTGAATTTCGCGCATCGAAGTGACAGGTGAACTATGATTCAATGGCGGATGACGCTTAGATTATTTTGTGCATTTTATTGTTATAAAAACTTGTAGAGAGATAAACCGAAGGATACGATTGAGGAAGCGATATTAGTGAACTTTAAATGTCGTTTGTATTTTCAGGTGAGATAGAAGTGTAATTGTCATAATTTGATAATTGTTGTAATATTGTAAAGGCGTATTAAATAAAAGAGAACTTTGTATTATCAGAGAAACAATTTATTGTTTATTTTGAAGATCCTCAATAATATACTTTATATCTATAATACGTATGTGTTTAGTAATATATGTCTGTTTATCAGAAAGTTGTTTAGCATAGCACAGGCTCTGCTTAATTTAAAATATGACGGCCATGTGTGTGGTATCTTAAAATATTGTTCTTATCTAAACCTGATCTTAAAATAAAAACATTTTTGTTGTTATTTTTATATAACTTATGAGGTGTTGTACTAAAACTCATTTCTGATAATGATGTGCCGTAATGGTAGTATTAAGTTTCTAACCACTCAGTTTTACTTCTTCTACTTCTGTCTATTTCTTCTAATTAATAATAGTCATAATAGAGAAAGGGCTTGGCAATAGTTCTTTCTACAAAAACCCGAGTTCTAGTTATGAGAAGAGTCAATCAGTTTGCTTGCTTAACTAGTTCCTGCAGTAGTGCAGAAGAATTTAAAACAATAAGGAACCATACTCACCTGATTTCTTTTCAGGGTTTCCTTCTAGGCCTTTCTGTAATAGGACTTCTGGATGTATGTAGCAAAACTTGGTTCATATTTGTGGATCCTTTAATGGAAAGTAAGAAGAAGGAGGAAGTTGATCCGTCGTGTGACACTGCCGATTTAAAGAGTAAACAGGAATGCATTGAGAAATGGAACCTTAAGACTAATAACTGAGAGTTGTAATTGCTTCGTTTATAAGGATTATATTGACTATATTACATATTTGAGCATTCTTTTCGTCTTTTATTTTTTCAAAGTCGATCTTTCTAATAAAAAGCTTCATATATTATATTTACGGTCTCTTAAGTGTAAGCAATGCCTTCTTCGATCACACTCTTCAAACTTATGACATTTAAATTCTACCGAAGTAGGAGGAGGGGAGGGACATTTACATTATCCGTGTGGTGACGGATTAAGAATACGGAATGTCCTGGAAAAAAAAGATTAGAACTTGCAAACTCACGGCGGGAAATATTCTGTTGAGTATTTTGAGTTTATATACCATCAAGGGTATATAACGAGAGATGCTCTTTAATGCTACACTAATGCAGCAATTAGAATTGATTTCCCTAGCAGGTCTGATCCGGGGTCCAGAGGTCTAACAATAACTGTTCCCGGATTCTTACTACATATTTAAGGCGAAGAGTGTCATGCCTCGTGGTTTTAGTCGCTTGGATTCCAACACTCCACCTCATCGTAATCTCCGGTGGGGGGACGGCCCGGGTGGTTTTCATGCGTCAAGAAAAAGACAGATCGGGTTCTCAGGCCTCCGATTTCAAAGCTCCCATACCCGAACACTTCCTATTATTTGCGAGATTGACAAAAAGAAGATGATGGCTACGTATCAGTGGTCATTATAGATCAATTAATTATAAAAAAATATAAGGAGTGCAAAGAAACCCGGAGATTTATGCCAGTGTTAAGAACAAATGTCATGTTGCACTAAATCCAATCTGTTGGCAAATGTCGAACAATAAATGCATTGGAGATGACGCATGCGCCGGTAAGAGTAAGACACAGTGCATAAGCGAAGCGATTCGCGAGGTATTTCTTACCTTACTTCATCAACTGCTTTTAATAGTCCACTGTTGGACATAGGCCTCTCCTTAGAAAGGAGGTTTTGGTCTACGCTGGCCAGAAGGGTTGGTATGGGGTTTGTGTCAAGTTTTCCTTCTTTTTGAAGTGCTGGTGTCCTGCGTTGTTTTTCGCCCTTAGTCGGCTCTTACGACTCCCGCGGTATGAATGGTTTTTTTTGCGTCTACGATCTAAGTGGCGTACAATGAGAGAGGTCTATGTCCAGCAGTGGGCTGCAATAGGCTGATGATGATTGCAAAATTTACAACAAGGTATGACCCATTCTGACAGTGATAATTTATGAATAGTGACATAACCATGTGGTAGGTACTTGTTACAAAGTACTATGATTATAATATGTTCTCTACCTAATACTAAATTACTCAACCCCGAACCGTGTCAATGTTCTAAATTAGTTGCTACCTATTTAACCGATCAATGATCAATCACCAACTGTATCATACATTTTATCTGGCTCTAATATCTGTTAATTACGGCTCGAAATCTTAATCTATACTAATATTATAAAGCTGAAGATTTTGTTTGTTTGTTTGTTTGGACGCACTAATCTCAGGAACTACTGGTCCGATTTGAAAAATTCTTTCAGTGTTATATAGCCCATTTATCGAGGAAGACTATAGGCTATATATCATCACGCTAAGACCAATAGGAGCGGAGCACCAATGAAGAATGTTTCAAAAACGGAGAAAATTTATTACTATTGAGAGACGCAGACGAAGTTGCGCGGGTCAGCTAGTAGATATATATGGCAGAAATATGGCTGTTGAAAGATTGACATTACATTACATTTTATGTTGCCGTATCTTGATTCTACGATGTGTCCTTTACTTGTCAAATAATCATACTTCTAAGATTCTTCTATCATATTATACCATTACTAGAATTTGCTCGTGGCTCCACTCGTGTGTATATCAGTTATCGTGGTATAAAGTAGCCTATATCTTTCCTCAAGAATCAAAGTATTTTGAACAGAACATTTGTCAGTAAATTGATTATCATTTTTGAAATAATAATAATAAACTGTATTGCGAACACAAGATTCATAACGGTAAATACAAAATGGCAACAACACAAACCACAAACAAAAAAATACTAAGACACAAAAAAAATATAGAAAGAATTATCCTGACGTTTTGATCCAGTGCTTGATATCACGTAATTATTCTATCTGACAGACTTCTTATAATAGTATTCTTACACCGGTCTACTCTGGACATGAATTTTGCTGTACGGTTTCTCTGGATGACCTCAAAGGACTTTACTCGCGCCTCGAAGAACATTCCAGAAGCGCTACAGTAGCGTGGTAGTCCCATGAGTTGTCTAAAGATGTTGTTGTAGGCAACTCGAATACCATTCAAAAAAGGGTCTGGATAATGTGTCATTGGAAAGGACTTTGGCTGGTGTATTTCACGACCTGCAGGACGGTAATCGTCTTTGGGAATGTAATTGTTTTCGGATGTAATTGTATTGTGGTAAAAGATATCGGATGAAACAAATCTCGTATGGGAAAGGGCAAGATAAAGCTTTAAGGGGTCAGGGAATTGTACCTGTGTAACTATCTTGTCAGTGGCGAAGCTTCTAGGAAAGGAATAGCGTACTGCAAGCGATGTAAGTACTTAATTATGTTGACGTTCAGTTAGATAGGCGATGTCAGGATGATCTTTTGCTGCTTTTTAGACCTTGCTTTTAACCAAAATTGACAATTCTAGGTCAACCGGAAGTACCCTATAGGTTTTGGGTCGAAAACCTAATTAGTAGTTCCCGTTGACTTAGAATCACGAAATTTGGCAAAAAGAAACGTCTTACAGTACAAAAAAAGGAATTATTTAAAAAAATAAAAAAAGTTGAAAATCAAGGTAAATTTTGGTACTTAAAAATTTCCGGTAAATTTACGTAAAATCTGGGTAGATACGAAACCCTCGGCGCAAGAGTTCGACTCGTACCTACCTGACCGGTTTTTTAAACCGCTCCACACTTACTTTTTAATAATATAATCAGTTCAAACATAACTGTGTAGATTGTTTATTCAAATATGGTTCTAACCCATCTTTTTGTTAACATAAATACGTTTAAGTCGATTAATTGTGATGAGAGCTTTTTCAAAATACATACATATTACTTTATAAATATTTAAACGCTTTGAATATATAAATACTGTAAGCTAAAGAAAATATTTTACTAAAGTATTAGTAATGATTTTACAGTTCTGGGCAGTGGCGCCAAATACCAACAAGCTAACACTAGGCGCGAAAGCCACTGCTTTGAATTGTAGTTTTCGCGCTGTGGTAGGAGAAAGAACTATTTTCCAAAAACCGGTCTTTTTTCGTTGCTATGAAAGTTTTTGAACTAAATTTTAATATCTTTATGTGTATTCATATTCATGGGTTAAAAGAAAATACTCTAAGAATAAAATATCATTACTTTAGTTTTACATATAAGATCTATTTTAAATCAAAATGTCCTACACTGTAACATATGCATTGGGCAAATAAAAAAATATCATTATTATATTATTATTCACCCAAAAAGAGAAGTTGTTAAAGTCCAAACCTGGGGAGTTCCCCACCCAAGTCAAAGGGTGGCAAGGGACTGACTCTTGAGCCGCAGGTGTCCATGGGGGGCGGTACTCACTTACCAACAGGTGACTCGTCTGCTTGTTTGCAGCCCTATGCCATAAAATAATTCCGTCCTCCTATAGAGTATGCGATGCAACCGATAAGCATCTCCGCCAACTGCGGCCACACCCACTCGCTTATTACCAGCACGAGATTATAAATTACGGCGACTGAATATTCAGCTAAAGAAATCTTCAAACTATTCATTATTTCTATTTATTTATTTTATATTAACGAAATATTGAAACAATAATCGGTCCTGTTTATATAGGCATGTCATTCTGCACCAGGGACTTCCTTTCTAGGGTATACCTGGTTCCCCGGCTATTAGTACCCGAGACGGCGTGCGGTTTTAGTCGGTTCGAGTCCGACATGCCACCGATAGGTGGTATCCGAGGGGATTTCCGCACGGAAAAAAAAGGCATTTCATTCTGGGGGTCAGTGATTCTAAAATTAAGACCAGGGGTTTGCGCATCTGTTCTGGGTTTAAATAGAATTGAATTGTTCATTGGCCAAAACCTCCTTTCTAAGGAGAGGCCTATGTCCAGCAGTGGACTAGTATAGGCTGTTGATGATGATGATGATGATGAATCGTTCATTTCAAAAACCTCTTAAGTCATTTTTTTTTCGAAAATGTCAAAATCGGTTCTTAAAGAAGATGTTTATTGCATAAACAACATTAGTTAGGGACTAAAGAAGTTTTTGCATACATGTACCTATAATTATATAAATAAATAAAAAAACAAGCACAAAAACACAAATAAATACAAGTGAAATGTTAATAAGTCAATTTTTAAATGTAATTGTCAATAATAAGCAATCAAAAAATATGATTACTACTATTGTTTTGCTAAAATTATATACCACTAACCCTATTTATTGCTAAAACAACACACGTATAATTCAAGAACAGTTTTTGAGGTTTTTCACTATTATTATTAATAAACTGTGACGGTTATTCGATATTTCATTTTTTATCAATGCCTTACTAAATTAAGCATAAAACAAAATCTTTTAAACTCGTTTTGCAGGAAACAGTCTTTAAATTCTTGAAAAACTCTGATCGTGTTACTTGAGGTTTTTGAAATAACCGTTTTAATTATATTTAAAGAAAATATTGTACTTTACTGGAATACTAAGTATCTAAATATCATCGTTAACTATTAGAAAGTATTCCTGGTCGTCAGAGACAGATTGGCAGCATTAAAGAGTCGGCTGGCTGTAAAATTAACAACTGTGTGTCACTAAGACATTATTTTGTAACTGCCTGTTGCCAACGGACTAGTTTAAGTAGTTGTGACAGAAATGAAAATATCTCATTGGTTATTGATTGCTGTATAAATTTAGACTGCGCCTATTAACATAACATTATGCAACTGTCTAAACCAGTAATGTTGATCTAATGGTTAGTGATTTTCACTGTTCTTTTCCTACCCAGGACAAATAATTACCTGATGAGCAATT